GCCATTTCCTAGGGGCCCCTGGTGTGACTTTATACTCTGTAGCTCAAGAATCACCCTGTTGGTTGGACAGGGGTCTGCGATGGAACAGTGACCTGCAACTTCTGAGTCCTTACCACRTGAGCATTTCCTGTTAACTGTGTCCATCTGTCCAATCTGTTCAACATTAATGGAGCACACTGTGGTGGGCACTAGCAGGAGCTCTGCCAACRCTGTCCTTAGTGTCCATGAAATCAGCACTTCTTACCTCTGCTGGAGACGTTCTCAGCCCATCCAATGGCCACCCTGGCCTGMTGGGAGGATATTTATCTTTTGTCCAGGAGGAGGACGGCCCAGAGGAGATGGAAGCCTAACATGGACCTAGCAGAAAGTTGGTGCAGGATAACTGGGTGAYAGGTGATAGTGATGCTCCTATATCACTGCAGCCAGGCCCTGAGCTCCTCCCTGGCAGCTCTTTGATCCCTGCGGTGACCCTTTGAGGCAGGGATGGGGCCAGGAAGCACCTTGCCCAGGGTGCACAGGGAGGACAACGGGGGAGGCAGGACTTGACCCCACATTGCTACTGAACCACATGCTCTTGCTGCTAGAGGGGACACTGTGCTGCATTGAGGGGCTGTGGGGGAGGGGGCTGGGAGCTGCCCTCTTGACGGTACACTATGGTCGTCTACCCTTTCTGCTGTCCCATGCTGAGGTAAATCCTGATGRCCATGAGCTCGTGAAGCTGGTCCCAGAAGTTCTCTCCCATGGTTCACGCCCTGGAGAGGTGCAGTGACTTCACACAGACCTCTCTTCATTTCCCTGTGGGGAGCCAGGCTGTGCCAATWCCACAGACTCTGCTCAGGTGCGAGGGTGAAATCAGGTTCCTGCAAGTCACAGGAGCCAAGACCTGTTTGACGGGTTTCTTAGGAGTGTTTCACCCACAGGAGCCAAATAATAATGGGACACTGGAGTGTGTATTTGTTCTTGGGGCCAAGCTCATGTGAAAGCAGGACTTGACTTTAGCCGTTTAGCCCAAACATCTGCACAAAATGACAACCATCCCACACGCCTCCTCCCAACACCTGTGTGCACAGCCGCACACTTAAACACATGCACACATACGYATGCCCCACCCAGTGCACACACATAGACACATAGGACACATGTAACCACACACACATATGTATATATATATAAACACATGCATATATGCACACTCATGCACAGTGCACACATACATACATAAATGTGCACCTACATAGGTGTACATAGGTGTCACATAAAARCACACCTATACACTTGCAYACACACAAGCACATATCCACATGTGCACGTACACATGAGTGCACACAGCTATTGCATAGGGCAGTCCCCTAGGCCACAAATGCTCCCCTTCCTGCCCTGGGAGCTCCAGCAGTATTGGAGAGGTTTCCATCCTTCCTCCAATTCCCTCAGAGGTCTTCAGCCCTCTTAATTGAAGGGGCACCTTCTCCTCCAGCGCCACTGTCATTCTCTCTGGGCAGAGTCTGTATCTTCACCAGGGAATGGCATGTGAGGGGCARCAGAGGGGACACGTCTTGAAAAAGAGAATTCACCTCCGGTACTCAGTGAAGAGGCTCAGGCCTTCCTACACCCCTGCTCTCTCCTCCAACCCCACAACCTTCTCCTTTCTCACCTGGTTCCAGGTGCTGCCTCTCCCACTCAGTTGTGGTTCTTCTGGGCCCTTAGCACCTCCCTGGTGTCCCTCACACACAGCCCAGGGCCATGGCCACCATGGCTGGGGATGGATGGATCTGCCTGAGTTTGCTTCTCAAGTGGCCCCAAGGGGACAAGGAGCAAGTGCCAGGTCCCCCTCGCCTTGAGACCCTCACTGCATGAACTGTATCTCTTCCTTTTATCACACAGGGAGCCTCTCAGGAAGCACAGCCTAGTGAATGCACTGGAGCTGGGAAGGAACCCATGAAACTATGTCATCCTTAGGTTTCTACTACCTCTTCTACACACACAGCTGGAACGGGCTCTGTGTCTGGGCTGCTGTACATTAAAACAGCTGAATAAAAGGGCTTGCACAAGCTTACCCAGATTTTGGCCACAAAGGCAGTGTTGTCCCCTTTTCTAACACCTACTTTGAGCCCTAGTATYAAGCTCTGTAGTGTAGGTGACACATGGATGACTGACCCAAAGAGGAGGGGAGAGTGGGTCCCATCCTTGGAGGCTGAGCCCACRTTACTGACTGCTCACTAGCCGAGGCAAGAGTTTGGGTGAGAAAGAGTAAAGAAACCACTCCAGTGTTTATATCTGCTCTCAAAAGAGAAAGCATAGCCTTGCAGAGGAAGCAGGATCCAAACATGGCAGACCAAGGATGCAGAAGACAATCAGAAGTCACAGGACTTTTCTTTCTGGTAGCTCCATCTCTTCATCTAGAATATGAGAGTCAGTAAGAATGATCACCTTCCTGTCCCATGGTGGATATCAGCCGGATGCTTTTCTGAATGAAGCCCCTGCTGTGCATGGAATGACACCCCCAACAACCTCAGGGGGACAAGTCTTGTTGTTTTTAGGTCAAGCAACAAAGGTATGAAAATAGAATTGAGAGTATGCTCCCTCTTGAAGTGGATATCTTCCTGAGGTTTACATCAAAGGTGAGCCAGCTTGTCCTTGAACATATAGGTTCATCACAGAATAATGACACCTTCTGTGGTTCTGAACTTTAAACTTTGATCATAAGTACTCTCATTAGATATGGTGGGTGTATCATCCTAGTTAATAGGTAAAGATATCGAGATGGAAGTTTCCACATCGGTGACCGACCTGGAACCAGGAACTCCAGTCTTCTATTTGCAAAGTTTGTTTAACAGCCAGGGAATAGTAATAAGACCATAATTATGAAGCATTTGGATTTTAATCATGGGTCCTGCTAATAAGAGAAGAAGAAAAGGAAATTTCAAATACAGATGGATATCTTCAAATATTCTTTAAAAAAATAAATAAAGGAGCTGGGTTGAATCTAGTTATTAAGAGTTCCACCCTTCCTGTGTCTTTACCCAGCAGGATGCTTCCCTGTTCTGGTCTCCAGGCTGGAATGATGTCTCCACCTGAAACTGGTTGCCAGTTTTATTGAGAAATTGGTTGCTTAATGTATACTGAGTCCTCAGCACTATTCCAGTAGAGATGAGATAGCAATCCTTGTTCAAGGACTCTTTATAAAAGGAGTTGGGGCTGGGGATGTGGCTCAAGCGGTAGCATGCTCGCTGGCATGTGTGCGGCCCGGGTTCGATCCTCAGAACCACATACAAAGATGTTGTGTCCGCCGAAAACTAAAAAAAATAAATATTAAAAGGATTGGGGACACTGTGCCCAGCTGTAATCCCAGAGCCTCGGGAGGCTGAGGTTGGAGGATCACAAGTTCAAAGTCAGTCCCAGCAACTTAGCGAGGCCCTAAGAAACTTAGTGAGACCTGTCTCTAAATAAAATCCTAGTACCAAAAAAAAAAAAAAAGGAGTTGGGCAACTGCAACATTTCTATTTCTCTCTCTCTCTCTCTCTCTCTCTCTGTCCCCCTGGACTCTGGGGGTGGCATGCCAAGCAGTCGGGGCTGCACCTAAGGGAAAGAGAGAATGCTCTATTTGATTGGCTGAACCTGAGAAAGGGATTTTGTAAGTTTTGCAGGAGGAGAGTAAAGGAATTTATTCCTTATGGAAGGGGGGATGAGAATCCATAGAGATCAAGAGGAAACTTCCTTTAGAAAGTCACTGTGGGAACTCCATGACAAACCTCCCCTCAGAAGCAGGGATCCCACCACAGGAAGGACCTGAGGATGGCCCACCAAGGGCTGAGCTCTTGGTCTAAACCTTGCTGTTCTAGGCAGTAGGCAGGGATGAGCTTTTTTTCAGAGGGTAAATCAGATGGAGGGCTCTGGGGTCCCTGATAAGTAACCACGCTTAGTGCTGATGCTCAGCGAAACCAGAGGCAGGCCAAGTTCACACTGCAGCGCCTGTTCTGTTTCCTCCTGCCCCACAGCATCAGCTGGGCTTGCCTTCTATGGTCAGCCAGTCTCCAGGCGACTCTGTCAGGACTCCAGCCTCCTGGTATCATCCCCCCTGTGAATGGGCCACAGCCACTCCCCTCCAAAGGTATCCACACAGAGGACCTTGGACTTAGCAATGGAAGAGAACTGAAGGAATCACTGAGCTGGAGGGCTCTCCTGGCAGGGGGATATAAAAGCCTTTGCCCTGCCTCTGAAATTACACTTCACATGTTCATTTGATAAGCAACAGCTTAGCATCAGCTGTGGTTCTGAATGGAACATGACTCCTTGCTTCCTGGAAGCGAAAAACTTCCCAAAGTGAAGAGAACTCATCTGCTGCTCTAGACCTGTTGCCTGCCCTGGCCTGGGAGCTTGATGGAGCCCAAAGTTTTACCCATGGAGACTCATTTCTCCCACAGACCCCTCTACCAGCCCCTAGGGAAAGAGCAGAGAGGAGAGCAGCTCTCCTCCTGGGGACAGCTGTGCTCCTGAAGTAGGCTTCCTGCACAGCCCTTCCCCTCTCTACCCTTAGTCTCTGCGAAATTGGGGAAGCTGTCCTGAACCCATGGATCCGGGTCTCTGTGAGTATCAGTTGCAAGGGAACTGTGCTCTGAGCAGGTGTCCTTGCAGTGGGGTGGTCTGCCATCAGGGCCAGGAGAGGTCACTAGGCCTGCAATTCCATGCTGCTTCCCACCCAACTCTTCCCATGGGCCCTCCCACTCCAGTTCCTGCATTTCTTGTCTATAGCAGGTCTGTCCCTCCCTGGGAGGAGGATCTTGCCTGAGGACAGGTGGAGGGTGGGGAGCCTTTCTCCTCCCTCTGCTCCAGTTGCAGAAAAGGAGGGGGTTCCCACTCTGAGGCAAGGCTGTCCTGCAGCTCTGCCCTCTGACAGACACTGCCTCAGAGCCCAGTGGCTGCTCTGAACTCAGAACCACGATTCCTGGGAGCAACAGGTTGTCAGCAAACTCAGAAGCTTTGAGAGGTGCAGGGTCACAGACATGGCTGAGGAGCTGTCTCCAGAGCAGGTGGCGGAGTACAAGGAGGCCTTCTCCAGGTTCGACAAGGATGGGGATGGTAACATCAACGTCCAGGAGCTGGGTGAAGTGATGCAGATGCTGGGCAAGAAATTATCGGAGGCCGAGCTGAAGGCGCTCATCGCCATGGTAGACACAGATAATGATGGTGTTATCAGCTTCCAAGAGTTCCTGGCAGTGGTGGCCAAAAAGATGAAGGCCTGGGGCAGTGAGGAGGACCTGAGGGCCGCCTTCCGTGCCTTCGACATCAACGGTGACGGCCACATCAGCGTGGAGGAGCTCAAGCAGGCCATGGCCCAGATGGGGGAGCAGCTTTCGCAGGAGGAGCTGGATGCCATGATCCGCGAGGCTGATGTGGACAAGGATGGGCAGGTGAACTATGAGGAGTTTGTGCAGATCCTCACCCAGAAGTAAGGCTCCCAGGGTGCGGGCCTCACCCTGTCGGACTGATTCTGGCCCACCGGCTTCTCTGCCTTCCCTGGGCCTCTGCTTTTGTTGTGGTGCAATAAAGGGAAAATCTGGGTTGGTAGATGGGAAATTCCTCATCCATGAGGAAGACTGTGCTGTCCTTGGTCTGGATGCTGTGCTCTCCGGGACTGCTCWCGAGCTCCTCTCTGCCGCTGAGACCCTGGGCAGAAGGTACCTCTTTGGACTGGTCCCTCCCCCTCTCCCTGCAGTGGAATGGGTGTTCCCTACCTCACAGGGCTGTCACAATGGTTTAAATAAAAGGAATGATAAGTCCAGCTGTGTGCTTGGTGTTTGATTGTAAAGTAGACAGTCCAAGGGACACAAACAGTGTATTTGAGATACTTTTGAGGCTCAGTCCCTCTTTTCACTTGGACCTGGTGGGAATACTGGTTTGAGTAAGCCCCATGGTCCACCTCTTGCCTCCCCTGATACCACCAGAAAAGGGAAAGGTGGGTGGCTATGGGGGTGGGGAGGATGGGGGAAACGGGTGTCATGGCCCTAGGGTCTGCCTGAGCTGCTGGGTGAGGACCAGGCCAGAGTCGGAGATCAGGGTGGGCAGCACCACCTATGCCCATGAAGGAAGGATAATGTCCAATGCATGCAGCCTGTTGGGTTTTAACCTCAAATAAAAAGATGGGGTGCGTCTCTATACATTTGTGTCTGCATGTGTCTGTGTCTCTGTGTGTGTCTGCAATAAAGGGAAAATCTGTGTGTGGTCTGTGTGGATAGGTGTGTGTGTGTGTACCTACCTCTGTGTTTATGCTCATGTCTCTGTGTCTGTGTATGTATATGCATGTGTCTCTGTGTCTTTGTGTACATGTGTCCTATACCTGAAATACAGGATGCTATAGATATTTTAAAAAGGTGGGTCCTGAAGATGAGACCCACTTTGCATGAATGAAAGCCAGATTGTCAGGAAGTGTTCAGAAATCAGGGCCCTGTGATGGGAAAAGTGTGGGGAGTGGCCCTGGAGGTGGGGGCCACTTGCCAGTTAGATGAAAAGGGCAGAAATCCCAAGCTGAGGTGTTTCCAAGGCTGAGAGCAGGTCTCTGCTGTCCTCGGAGGACTCCAGACCTCAACATTGCTTCTAGAGCTTCCGTCTGAAGAGTGCATCCCAGAGAGGAGTTAGGGAGAGGAGGGATGATGGAGAAGGAACACTGAGGTCTGCCAGTGGCTGCCACAGGCAAACTGGCCGTGAGCAGGCCCACTCTTTGAACTTGGCGTAGGGTATTGTGTGTGGCTGTGAACATGAGACCAACAGGCAGCTTGTCATTTAACAAGCCTGGGCTTCTGCTTCATCCTCTGTGAAATGGTTTTTTTTTTTTTTTCTGTTTTTGCTTGAGAGAAATTTTAATTCAAATGATCCATGATGGCACATTTATCTTGTTCTAACTGTGTTAAACCAGTGGTTCTTAGGCCAAGGTAGGGAGAGCAGGAGGACCAGCTCAMCAGGAGAGCTAACATGCTCACCCACTGGGAAATATTTTGGAATGTATCCTGCCTTTTTCTTTTGTCTCTACCCAATCCCATCCACCTCCTTGTAGGTACTTTTCCCTTCCCAGACATGACATGGTATCACACAGATGGTTCCATAGTCTATGGACACCTTTTCTTATAAAAATAGTAGAGATGCACATCATTGCTTTTARTGGTCACTTAATATCCCACTAAATGGTGGCGTCCATTTTAGTGGCAGTCAATTCACCATGGCCTTTGGAATGAGCCGGGGAAGTCTGTAAATTCTCAATGGCCACTTGTTATCAATGTGACCATGAGCACATACCTTCATCTCTCTGAGTCTCAGTTTTCTTACCTGGAAGATGACATGCTGACACCTGAGCCACCAGACACCATGAGGGCAGCACCTGGCACCATGTCTGCACCTCATTAGAGACGACTCAAAGCCCACCCCTGAGGAAASCCCACTGAGCAGGACTTGCTAGAGCCTTTGGAGTGTGCCGCAGAGGGCTCCCCAGAGTAGCCATCTGCCTCTGGGATTCCACACATGGCCCCGGGGCAGTTTCTGACACCTAGTGTGCTCAGCACTGGTGTRGGTGTTCCTGACAAATCTCTTAATTGTGTAGCACTGCCAAGGGTGTGGGCGAAGGAGAGAGAATCCTGGACTGAGTTCCAGGTTTCTGTCCCTATCAGCACATGGAGCGTTASCTGGGAAAAATATCTGGGTTTCCAGAGTCAAGGCCTGCATCCCACCTGGTATCAGGAAGGCTGTGAGGCCCCCCCCCCCAGGGGGCAGGGGGGCGGGGAACAAGGGTGAGACTATGGCAGGAAGTTCTGTACTGATGCAGTTTGGAGAACAGCCAGGCAGACAGAAGACCATCCCCATTTTTAAGAAACCCTGACCAAAGAAGAGGAATGAAGGCCCTCCCACCCCCAGACAGCCCAGGGAGGTGAATGATGTGTTTGGGGCAGACAGGATATTAAAGACAGGACTTTGGAAGCCATTCGTTTATCACTGACAGACCCTTCCCCAGAAGGGCTTTCATGGGCCYACAAAACAGCTAAGCAGAAACTTCTCTTTATCTCTTGTCTCAGGAGACCAAAAAGGGAATCTGAGGACCRGGGAGAGGAAGTGATTCTCTTCAGGTCTCAGGGAGGTGCTGAAAAGGTCCTGGAGTGGAATTCATGTGCTCAGAAGGGCCACCTCCTGTTCCCAGCAGAGCCCGAGAGAGACCGGGAGCCCCTATCACGCGCAGTCCCCTGGGGGAGTCCAGGTGGAGGGTGGGATATCTTCAGCTGGTCATCTGAGTTCCACCCAAGAGCCTGTGCAGAATACCTAGGAATGGCTTCTGGGTGGGCTGTAGACTGCCCTGAAGGCCTCTGAAGACAGCAGCCGGCTGCACTCCACCACCAGRGCTTTACAACCCCAGAAGGGACCCGTGTGCATGAAGCATCTGAGAACCCAAAGCTGCTTTAGGTCATTCAGGGAAACCCAATTCTCTGAAAGCCACTTCTCTGAAAATCAATTTGCCAAAAGACAAGTTCCACAAAGGGTCAGTCTTCTATTATTTCCCAATGTACCAAAAGAAAAAAAAAAACCGAGAACAACAACAAAAATCACCCAAACAAAAAACAAAACAAGAATACTCCCAAAGGAACTTAATAAATTAGTTCATAGTGGAGGAGCTACTGAAATAATTTTTGAATTTCTCTCTGAAGTTTTATTTACCCCAATTTTAATTTTTTTAGTTCATTTAATTTTACATTGAGTTTAGTAAATTATTGTAGCTGCAGTCAATTCACCCAATCATTGCAGCATAAYCCTGACAGAGAGTGAGGTGCTTTTTGTTTTGGTTTTATACTTTGGGTCTATGATTTGGGGGAAGGAGAGACCTTGTAACTCATTTCAAGATTCAGCTTTTGTATATGTCTTCCAAGTGAGGGATTTTATAAATTATAGATAAGGCAGGTTTCTCTATACTAACAAATTTTCAGTATAGTTGTTGCTTTTGTACTTCTCCTAATTCCCAGGTGTGTTAACTTGCTCAGTCAAATGAATATTTTCCATGTGTTTTAGGTCCTTGGTAAGTGCTCAGTGTCTGAACCATGAATCACACCTGAAACTGACATTTAGAATGAGACAGATGACTCTCCCAGAACTGATAGGTGAAATAGCTTTGATGAAATCAAAACTAATTCAATTCAAGCAAAATTTCCCCCAAACTTCCATGATGTTAATTAGTAAACTGACTTTAGGTAAATATTAAACTCCAAATATTAAATAATACACCATTTTCATTGGATTGTCCCTGGATCTTTTAAATCCTAACTTATATTCATTCCCGAAAGGCCTGGTAACCCAGTCTGTCTTTTCAGGTGCATATCACCTGYCTCTTCCTGACAGCCTTCTAGAACAGGTCTTGACACAGCCGACCAACCCTCARTGTGCCCTTTCCTAGCAAATGATGAAATGTGGATTCACTTTTTGCACAGTTCTTATCAAAGTGCCTTCTGCATCACAATTCCTGGTGAACAAGGCTTAGTCTTCTTCCTCAGAATACCAAATATGAAAATAAAACCCATCAAAGGATTAGACCAGTGTTATAGCTTGGATACGAAGTGTCCCTCCCCCCTCAAAAGCTCCTGTATTGATGTMGGAATATTCAGAGGTGAAATGATTAGATGATGAGAGCTGTAACATGATCAATCCATCCTCACTTGAATTGACTGGCTGGGAGGTAGCTGTAAGCAGATGGGGTATGGCTGAAGGAGATGGGTCACTGGGGGCCTGCCTTGGAAGGGTGCATCTTCCATCCATGTGACCCCTTCCCCCTCTCTCCCTCTCTGCTTTCTGACCCCAGCATAAGCTGAACTGCTTTGCTCCACTTGGTCTTTCCCACATGATGTACTTGTACTGGGCCCAGAGCAATGGAGTTAGCTGTCTATGGACTGAATCTCCCAAACCGTGAACCCCAAATACACTTTCCCACCTCTAAATTTTTCTTGTCAGGTATTTTGATCACAACAACGCAAAGTTGACTCAAACAACCAGATTACAAACTCTTCAAGTACAAAACCCTTCTAGCACATGTACTGTGACAGCAGGAGACCCAAGACTTCTTCATCCACAGGCATTATCTCCAGTCCAGGAAGGATGACTCCCAAGATGTTTAAAAGGCAAAAGGAATTTTCACGMCAGTGTACTCATCAAGAAGAGGGAAAACCCAAGATGAGACTGAAGAGGGCTTCTGCCTTATATCCTATTATCAAAGTCCTCTTATGATCCTAAAATTCCAAAACTTTATTTTCTTTTGGTAGAAATGAGATTCTACAGCATGTAACCCAATGAATTAGACAAAGATTTAAACATCACACTATGTCTGAATCAGTTTATAAGATCTCAGACTTATGCTTCTGATCCATAGTGGGTTATCTTCTCCCACACTGTTGTAGGGACAGACGAGGCAAGGCACTGAAGATAGCAGGAA